AATACATTTCGTTCCACTTCACGATTGTGTCCCACTTGTTGTTGATTCATGACAAAAAATTAAAATTTTATATCTTTATGTTTGAAGCCAGAAATGTGGCAAAATGTTGAAAGGTTCAACATACTTTCGCAAGGCACTGTATATGAAACTATATATTATATAAACTCTGTGTTTCCAAACTCGTCCTATAATAATCATGAACTTGTATCAATGCAGAATAAACAGCTGCAGTTACAGCTTTGTGTGTTTGATTGTTGTGTTGTAAATGTGTTGTCACGGCAACCACCAAAAACACACCAAAGAGTTCTGGAATTTAATTTCAGAACCTGAAAGCCCCGCCCACTTCACAACTCCACAGTCAACTCACTCGTCTCCACGGCAACAGATGGTTGCCATGGAGCCATCATGTCATTCTGATGAGGTCATTGAGATTCTCCACCAGAGATCGCGTGTGTGGGTCACGTCCAAGGAAGTCAAAGCGTCAAATCAACGGGAGTCAAAGTGAGTCAAAGGGAGTCAAAGCATCAGATCAAAGCAAGTTTACCACATGTCGCGGATAAACGGGTCACAGAACCTGGTGTTGTAGAACCAGGTGTCGTAGAACCCTAGTACCTTTAATTCTTTATTCTTTAGACTCATCTGTAGCGAATGGATCGCTTCAGTGAGATCTCGGTCTCGTCGGAGGCCTCGCTGCAGATTGTGAGGAGCCACTTTGAGCAGATCAGTGGCAGTCAGTGGGTGATGTTGTCCAGAGGCATGTGCGACTTGGAGACCAGGCGTATTCTGACCGCCATGTTTATCTCGCTGGTCCAAACGCTGTCCGCCAACGTCTTGGGTCTGATGGTTCCGAGACGCGAGGTGAACAACAGGTTCCTGAGTGAGAGCGAGACGACCCGAGCTCACGGATCTATTGTCACTGTGCTGCAGGACACCATGGGGCAAGTGTTCTCTCAGGCTCTGAATCTGCCCACGGACTCGTTGGACAAACACCAGGACTCGCAGGAGCTCACCACCCTGATCGAGCAGGAGGTGTCCGCGAAGGTGAACCGTGTCCTTTCTGAGGAGCAGGAGGAGGGCTCTGTGATGGTGGACGCCCTCATCAGCAGCGAGAGTGTGGCTCGCAGCATGATCGAGAAGGGAAACTCCTGCCTCAAGAGGTGCCTTTGCCCCTTGTTCTGTTCCTGCGGCCGCCGCACTGCCACAAAGAAGTCGGAATCTTCGGAAAGTGGGCCGTGCCGCTGCAGCTTCCTCAGATTCTCCAAAAAGAATTTCCGAAGCATGCAGAAAGATCTGGAGGCAGAATTTTTGGTTGAAGAGATAGAGCCAGAAACGAGCTGTGGGAGTTTCCCAGACCTGGGAAAAACTCCAGAAGTTAGTTTTGAGCAGTTTCAACCAGAAATAGAAGAGTTGTTTAGAAAGTTAGATCTGTCGACAAGTCCTGACGCAGAAACAAGTCGAGAAAGACTGGCCCAGGCCTTGGATAGTGAGCAAACCACTGCCTTTGTTAAGACACTGACAGACACAATGTACTGTCACTTTCAGATCCTAAACGGACTTTCTCTTGCTGCGTCACCAAACATAAGGAGTGAGTTCCAGAACCAAGATCCTGAGGAGACATACACACAGAAAACAAGAGTAAGATGTAAGCTCAGGCGCTATAGCCTGCAGCAGACATACGCCACGGTGCAGAGGGAGGTTTCAAATTACCTTCAAAGCCTCCAGGATTACATAGCGCAAGACCCATTGGAGAACTTCTACCGCCAGGATCTGTTTGAGTTGTGCATGGAGAAGCCGCCTCTGTCGCCCAACTCCCAGCAGGCCCTGACGTATAATGTGTCCATTCCTTCTCAAGGGTCGGTCCCCGTCCAGGTGGACTTTCAACATCTGTCAGGGCAGTCTTTCAACAGCCAGAAACACGACCTGTTTGAGAGGTCTATGGTGCACCCCAGAGCCTGTGTGCCATCGCAGATCTCTAGAGACGTTCCAGCGATCGTCTTACGCACACCAGAGGTCAGCACCAGGACAATCTCAGGCGTCTCTGAGAATTCTTTTAGGAGTCACAAGTACGACCTGTTCGAGAGGTCCATGGTGCCTCCCAAAGTAGAGCTGCCTTCTTTCATCTCTGAGGACGTCCCGGCGGTTGTCCTGAAAACCCCAGAGGGCATGAGAAGAATCAGTGACAGAGACTTGTCCGAGGGCCAGTCCATGACTCTAGGCCTGATAGAGGCTTTGATGATTGAGACGTTCAGGGGAAAGGCAGCTCTGCGTCCGTGGGACAAAAAATACAAAGTGATTTGCGACCGTTTGACAGAAAAGGCCTGGGAGGAGATCCAGCTTTCTGAACACCAGGCAAAGAAAACGGAAAAGAGAATGAGTAAAATCATTGACGCGATTTTGAAAGACCTCAAATCGCAGTACGGCACGGCACAGAGAATGTTGGAAAGTGCTTTGGACGGAAAAGACCGGACTTTTGACAAGACGGTTCTGAAGTCCCTGCAGTACCACCTCGAGCACAACCTGCGGAAGCAGTCTTTTCTGAGCCGCGTGTTCAGAGGTCTCTGTAAGCCTTTCATATGCTGCTGCTGCCCCACCATCGAAGAGTAAACATCCACACCCTCAGAACACCCCAATGCTAGCTACAAGACCCCAATGCTAGCTACAAGACCCCAATGCTAGCTACAAGACCCTAATGCTAGCTACAAGACCCCAATGCTAGCTACTGAGGGGTTTAATGGGGTTAGCTTGATAAAGGGGGTAAAAGTGCGAAAAACTGTTCACTTTTACCATCGCCTTTAGCAAGCAGCTAACCGACTAGCATTGCTCCAACCCTCGTGTTTGGATTTGTCTTGAATTTGAACGAGAGGGTGATAGCAAAAGAAATAGCACAGAACTTTTAAAGGGACTAAACTAAGACTTTAGTTTGAACCCCTCATGATCAGATTATTGTACGATCTGAAAGTGAGGGTGTTAACACAAACTAGAGGCACATGTGGAACTTTAAAACTTTAATGCTATGAACACGTGTCTGATTTGGACTTTTAGCTCTGTTTGTGAGTTAGCATGTAGCTAGCCAACGGACAGAGAGAGAGAATCATCTGAGGGAACCGGAAACAAAGCACACTGCATCAAAAATCAAATAAAAATAATAAATAATAATAAATACAATTGTTTTTTTTGTTGGCTTAAAACTGTCTGTAACGCTTCTTTGTTTTAGTTTTCTTGATTTAAATATTAAACATTTCTTTTATAGTTTTACAGCGACTGAAATCAGGCAGGGTGCTTAACAGGCACAGAGAGAACATTGGCAAACAAACAAAAACATTATAGAAATAGAAATAAAAACCATAAAAAATGATGAAATATAAAAAATTATATACATACATGTATATATTGTATACACATATCATACATAAATAGATACACACATAAACATGAATCTGTAATAGTAATATATACAGTTTCTTCCCCTCTGCTGTTGGACTCTTGAACACTTCTTAACCTGTCCCCCCGCCCTTTATAAAGTCACTTTACTGCCCATCATACGTCACTTTACTTCACTGTACTGCTGTCACCTTACATTGTGTGCACCATATGCACTGTATATTGTAAATAGTAACTGTAACTCTAATTTAAATTTAAATTTATTCCTTAGAAGTGTTTTTTATTCTTTATTTTTTATTATCTCTTTCTGACTGTTGCACTGAGCCAAAGCAATTTCCAAGTCTGTGACTTCCTGTTACTTACGTGGCAATAAAAATGATTCTGATTCTCATTCTGATATATATATATAAAGAACATGAATAGCTTGAGAAATACCAAGGTCTCAGAGAGGAGCTGGAGAGGGCCTGGAGGGTAAAGGTCACAGTAGTGCCCGTGGTGATGGTGCACTCGGGGCAGTGACCCCGAAGCTAGAAGAGGTTACAGCGGATCCCCGGAACAACCTCGGACATCTGGGTCCAGAAATGTGCAGTGCTAGGAACAGCAAAGATACTGCGCAGAACCCTCAAGCTCCCAGGCCTCTGGTGGAGGACCCGAGCTTAGAGAGGGATAACCGCCCGCGGAGGGCCAAAGGTGAGTGGACAATTTTTTTTTATATATATATATATATATATATATATATGGGCAAGTTTGTGTAAGCCCTCAGTCGTACAGGGATTAGTCAAAGCAAAGGAAGGTTTCTCACCCATCATCTGTACTTCTTAGCAAGTTTTCCCTTGGAAAACTTGCTAAGAAGTACAGATGATGGGTGAGAAACCTTCCTTTGCTTTTATATATGGGCAATTAACAGCTACGCCCTGCCAGTGATCAGATACCCTGCAGGAATAATCAGGTGGCCAAAGGAAGAGATTCAGACCACGGATGTTAAAACTCGAAAGCTCCTTACCATGAGACTGTACGTAAGCCGTAAAGAAGGAGGCCGAGGACTAGTGAGTGTGAGAGCCACTGTCCAGGACGAAACATCCAAACTCCATAACTACATCATGGAGAAGGCCAAAACGGATGACGTACTCAGTGAATGTCTCAGGCAGTGGCGAGATGAGGAGGTGCTGAGGAGAGCCCATCATGGGAGAACAAGCCCCTACACGGCATGTACCACCGGAGCATAACAGAAGTGGCTGATCTCAACAAGTCCTACCAATGGCTAGAAAGGGCTGGCCTACAGGACAGCACAGAGGCACTCATCATGGCTGCACAGGAACAGGCACTGAGCACCAGAGCGATAGAGGCCCAGATATACCACTCCAGACAAGACCCAAGGTGCCGGTTGTGCAAAAAGGCACCTGAGACGATCCAACACATAACTGCAGGGTGCAAGATGCTGGGCAGGGAAGGCCTACATGGAACGCCATAACCAAGTGGCTGGCATAGTGTACAGAAACATCTGTGCAGAGTATGGGCTGGAAACCCCAAGGTCTAAGTGGGAAACTCCTCCAAAGGTGGTGGAGAATGAGCGTGCGAAGATCCTGTGGGACTTCCAGATACAGACTGACCGAACGGTAATGGACCAACCTGACATCGTGGTGGTGGACAAAGGGCAGAGGACAGCCGTGGTGGTGGACAAAGGGCAGAGGACAGCCGTGGTGGTGGACAAAGGGCAGAGGACAGCCGTGGTGGTAGACAAAGGACAGAGGACAGCCGTGGTGGTGGACAAAGGGCAGAGGACAGCCGTGGTGGTGGACAAAGGGCAGAGGACAGTCGTGGTGGTGGACAAAGGGCAGAGGACAGCCGTGGTGGTGGACAAAGGGCAGAGTACAGCCGTGGTGGTGGACAAAGGGCAGAAGACAGCCGTGGTGGTGGACAAAGGACAGAGGACAGTCGTGGTGGTAGACAAAGGGCAGAGGACAGCCGTGGTGGTGGACAAAGGGCAGAGGACAGCCGTGGTGGTGGACAAAGGACAGAGGACAGTCGTGGTGGTAGACAAAGGGCAGAGGACAGCCGTGGTGGTGGACAAAGGGCAGAGGACAGCCGTGGTGGTGGACAAAGGGCAGAGGACAGCCGTGGTGGTGGACAAAGGGCAGAGGACAGCCGTGGTGGTGGACAAAGGGCAGAGGACAGCCGTGGTGGTGGACAAAGGGCAGAGGACAGCCGTGGTGGTGGACAAAGGGCAGAGGACAGTCGTGGTGGTGGACAAAGGACAGAGGACAGCCGTGGTGGTGGACGTGGCAATTCCAAGCGATGGTAACATCCGGAAAAAAAGAACATGAAAAGCTTGAGAAATACCAAGGTCTCAGAGAGGAGCTGGAGAGGGCCTGGAGGGTAAAGGTCACAGTAGTGCCCGTGGTGATCGGTGCACTCGGAGCAGTGACCCCGAAGCTAGAAGAGGTTACAGCGGATCCCCGGAACAACCTCGGACATCTGGGTCCAGAAATGTGCAGTGCTAGGAACAGCAAAGATACTGCGCAGAACCCTCAGGCTGCCAGGCCTCTGGTAGAGGACCCGAGCTTAGAGAGGGATAACCGCCCGCGGAGGGCCAAAGGTGAGTGGACAATTTTTTTTTTTATATATATATATACGTATGTACACATACACATATACATACATACACATACACACATTAATCTTTATAAATGCATATACATAGAATAATAATTTCAGAAAGAGCCTGGGCTTATGTAAATGCTGAGGCAAATAGCCATGTTTTAATTCCTGATTTAAACGCTCCTATAGTTGGAATAGTTCGCAGTTCATGTGGAAGAGTGTTCCACAGACGAGGAGCATAAAAACTAAATTAAATTAATTTAGAATAATTACACCAAGATACTTTTACTTTGGAACGTTCATTTTTTGGTCCAAAGACAATAACTTCTGTCTTCTCCGCGTTAAGCTGAAGAAAGTTTTGACCTGTCCATTCTCTGACATGACGGATCCAGTCCCTCAATGTTTGCAGTGGACTTAAATCCTGAGAAGATACAGAAATATATAGCTGTGTGTCATCTGCATATGTATGTATGCAGATGACATGCAGATGTATATGTAGAAATTCATAATCTGAGCCAGGGTTGTTATGTTGCATATAGATTTTAAACAAAAGTGGGCCCAGTTTGGACCCCTGTGGCACTCCACGTGTTATCTTTGTTTTTGCAGACTCATAGCTGCCGGCAGACACGTAAAACTCCCTATCTTTTAAGTAGCACTTAAATCAATGTAGAACATTACCAGTTAGTCCTACCCACTGTTCAAGTCTTTCAAGCAAAAGTGAATGATCCACCGTATCAAATGCGGCACTAAGATCTAACATTACCAGCACTGTTATTCTGGATGCATAATTATTTAGGTGTATGTCATTTAAGACTTTAATTAAGGCAGTTTCGGTTGAGTGAGCTTGACAAAATCCAGACTGGAATTCATTAAAAAGATTGTTCTGCATCATGAAAGTATATATTTACTGATATACAGCTTTTTCTAAGATTTTTCCCAAGATTGGAAGATTGGAAATCGGTCTATAATTACTTTAAGTAAGTAAAGTAAGTAAGTAAGTCTAAGTTGGGTTTCTTAAGAAAGGGTTTTACAACTGCCATTTTAAAAGCCTCTGGAAACTGTCCAGATTGGAGAGAATTATTGACTATCTGTAAGATATTTGGTGAAATGCAGTCAAAAATATTTGTAAAAAATCTGTGGGCAAAACATCCAGACAGGAAGATGTAAATTAACTGAAAAACAATTTCTTTCGAAGTTGTATTATTTAAACAATTTAAATATTCAAAACTAATTTGTAATGAGGGCACAGGTAAGGCCGGTGAACAGGGGTTGCTGGTATTTACAGATTTCCGTATTTTCAGGGTTTTATCTGTAAAGAAATCAGCAAATTCATTGCATGATTTGTTTGATTGGAGCTCAGATGGAAGTGATGCACCAGGATCAAGCTATCAACCACTGAAAATAATTTCCGTGTGTTGTTACTGTTGCTATCAAAAATAAGATTGAACCATAAGACATACTTTGTCAACAGAGAGAAAATGAGGACCATGAAACCACAGAACCAGAGGACTCTATGATAATCGTGGCATATTCATGAATAAATAAATACACTTCAAGATTAAACTGTATTTAATAACAAAGCTGGAGCTGGAGCCTCGTGCATGTTGTGGTGGACACACACATTATGACCTCACTCATAAAAGTTATTTATTGTTAAGGATGATGTCTGGAAGAGAGCAAGAAGCAAACTGCAAGAAGTGCTGGAAAATAAGTTTAAAAAAATTCAGATTTGGCAAAATGTGTCTTAGTTTGAGCTCCTTCTTAAAACTGATTTGCCAATGGGACAAAGCAAAATGATCAAAATGATGTAATGTTTATTGGTTTAATGCTTGAAACGATGGTTTGGGTCATGATTTAAAGGACGAGATTGTGGATACAAGCCCAGTCACACAGGAGGAGCTCGCAGTAGAGCCGCTGCTTCTCCAAGATGTTTGGGATGCGGAGAGGGGACCAGGAGGAGATCCAGGACCCAAAGGGAGGAGACCAGGAGGAGACCAGGAGGAGACCAGGAGGAGACCCAGGAGACAGAGGGAGGAGACCAGGAGGAGACCCAGGACCCAAAGGGAGGAGACCAGGAGGAGACCAGGAGGAGACCCAGGACCCAAAAGGGGGAGACCAGGAGGAGACCCAGGACACAGAGGGACCTGGTCTCTCTCTGACCTGGGAACATCTTAGGATTCCCCCAGATGAGCTGGAGGAGGTGTATGTGGAGAGGGAGTTCTGGGCGTCTCTGCTTAGACTACTGCTGGGCAGGTTCTACTGTTACTTTTTCTAATCAGAGGAAGACGTATAATGTGGTCAGATTCATAGGGTTCGTGGGGGAGGTTGAGAGATAGTTGACCTCTCCTCCATACACAGCTTGGGCTCTGGAACCCAACTCCTTGTTTCCCAGGTAAAGAGAGGAGTGTAGCTGTCGATTGATCACCACCTGGTCGGACCTGGCAGACCCAAGCATGTAGTGAGGGTTTGCTGGGAATGTCTCGCTGAGCCCCCTGTCAGACGGACATTCAACCAGCACCTCCGGGAGAGCTTCTCTCAGGTCCCGGCGGAGAAGGGGGACATTGAGTCTGAGTGGACTATGTTCCCTTCCTCTATCACCGATGCGGCGGCTCGTAGCTGTGGTCGCAAGGTCTCTGGTGCTGGTCCCGACGGCAACCCCGAACCCGGTGGTGGACACCGGCAGTAAGGGAGGAGTTCGGAAGAGATTCTGGCAAACCGTCCGGCGCCTCAGGAGGGGGAAGCAGTGCTTTGCTAACACCGTGTACGGTGCGGATGGAGAGATGCTGACCTCGACTGGGGAAATTGTCGGGCGGTGGAAAGAATATTTTGAGGTTCTCCTCAACCCCCCCGTCACGTCCTCCGTTCCGGAGGCAGAGGCTGAGGATGTTGGGGCGGATACTTCCATCTCCCTGGCTGAGGTCACCAAGGTGGTTGGCAGCCTCCTTGGTGGCAAGGCTCCGGGTGTGGATGAGATCCGTCCTGACTATCTAAAGTCTCTGGATGTTGTGGGACCGTCTTGGCTGATACGTCTCTGCAACATCGCGTGGCGATCGGGGGCGGTGCCAATGGAGTGGCAGACTGGGGTGGTGGTCCCTCTCTACAAGAAGGGGGACCGGAGGGTGTGTTCAAACTATCTTGTATGACCGGAGCCAGAGCTGCGTCCGCATTGCCGTCAGACCTGTTCCCGGTACATGTTGGCCTCCGCCAGGGCTGCCCTTTGTCACCGGTTCTGTTCACTGTATTTATGGACAGAATTTCTAGGCGCAGCCAGGGGCCGGAGGGGGTTCGGTTCGGAGACCACAGGATTTCATCTCTGCTTTTTGCGGACGATGTTGTCCTGTTGGCTCCAACGAACCAGGACCTGCAGCATGCACTGGGACGGTTTGCAGCAGAGTGTGAAGCGGCTGGGATGAGAATCAGCACCTCCAAATCCGAGGCCATGGTGCTCGACCGGAAAAAGGCCTTTCCACCTCTCCACCCAGGACCTCTCCACCCACCCTCTCCAGGTGGGTGGAGGGGTCCTTCCTCAAGTGGAGGAGTTCAAGTATCTCGGGGTCTTGTTCACGAGTGAGGGAAGGATGGAGCGTGAGATTGACAGGCGGATCGGTGCAGCGTGCGCAGTGATGCAGTCGCTGTATCGGACCGTTGTGGTAAAGAGGGAGCAGCGTCTGCAGTCAGAGCTGTATCGGACCGTTGTGGTAAAGAGGGAGCAGCGTCTGCAGTCAGAGCTGTATCGGACCGTTGTGGTAAAGAGGGAGCAGCGTCTGCAGTCAGAGCTGTATTGGACCGTTGTGGTAAAGAGGGAGCAGCGTCTGCAGTCAGAGCTGTATCGGACCGTTGTGGTAAAGAGGGAGCTGAGCCGAAAGGCAAAGCTCTCGATTTACCGGTCAATCTTCGTTCCCTCCCTCACCTATGGTCATGAGCTGTGGGTAATGACCGAAAGAACGAGATCGCGGATACAAGCGGTCGAAATGAGCTTCCTCCGCAGAGTGGCTGGGCGCTCCCTATAGGTTAGGAGCTCAAGTCACACGGGAGGAGCTCAGAGTAGAGCCGCTGCTCCCTTAGAGATAGAGGATCTCAGTCACACGGACGGGTCGAGAGGAACACTGTAAAAACAAAAAAGTTAGTTCAACTCAAAGTTTCAAGGCAACTGGCTGCATAGGAGTTTTGAGTTGAAGGCATCAACTAAATTCTTTACGTTTTGAAGAACTACAATTATAAAGTTGTGTCAATGTTTCTAGTTCTGCCAACTACGTTTTTTTGATTCAAGTTACTGGAACTTTCAAGTCTATAAAAACTTACTATTTTAAGTTCAGATTACAGTCCCCTGCAATAACTTACTATTTTGAGTTTAAATTTCCCCTCACATTAAATCATCCCGTTTCATCCTCATGAGTATTTATATAGCGCATATTACAGACCAAGGTCACATGGGTATACGGGAAACCGGAGCACCCGGAGGACACCTATGCAGACACAGAGAACATGCAAATTACACTCCGCCACTGTGCCGCACACACTATAAACCTGATTAGTGGGGAAAACTAATATTTCTAAAAGACTGACCCAGGGAGTATACACGGCTACTTTGGCTTGGCCCTGTCGATTACGGTTGGTAAAAATAAATACAATGATTTATTTGGTCAAATTAGTTTATCCAAAATGGTGAATGCAGCCGGTTGCCATGACGAATTTGAAATTAAGTTGACCTCAATCTAGCTCGGTGAACTGTAAAAACAACAACTCAGAATTCCTCCTTGCTAAGATTTTTGCATTCACTGACAATAACACTGCCAGTTGGAACTTGAACTGTCTGTTGTGAGCCACTTTAACTCACTTTCAGAAGTTGAAGTTGTAGTTGACATGTCAACTACAACAAGTAAAATCAACTTAATTTATCAAATAAGATGAACTTTTCAACAGTAACTTAGTTTCACACATGTTCTAGTGTTATTCCAGGCTGCTTTATTCTTGAAGGGGGCGGGGCTATAGTGAGACTGTGGAGACTGTCTCTCCATCTCCAGGTCAGTAACAGTCACTATGGTTTTAATGAATATGGACAATAAAAGATTAAGATGAAAACATCCTGTATTGGTCAGTGTTGCATCATCACAGAACAGAGTGAGGAGCACACAGAATAAGATGAATTAACAATTACTCTACTGAAATAAAATTAAAAATCTCTAACTTTATAATAATAATAATAATTGTTTTATTTTTGCTGCAGCTGTACACCTGAATTTCTCCCACGGGGATCAATAAAGTATCTATCAATCTATTCCAGATTCAGATGAAGGTTCAGTTGTATGGAACAAACAAACGGGAGCGTTGTGGTTCAGTGTGTGTCCACCAGGGGTCGCTGCACACCCACCTCCTGAACCGCGGTGATGAGAGCGACCTGTCCGGCCTCTGAGCTCACACAGCGGACTGCGGCTCCAGAGAAGTTAGATCAGGGAAAATAAAATACATTGTTCTGGAAAATGAATTTTCATATGAGGACATTTTTACATTTGGTTTGACAAGAAGAGCAGTCATTTATTTATGACACACACACGTACGATAACACACACACGCACACGCACACGCACACACACACACACACACACACACACACACACACACACACACACACACACACACACACACACACACACACACACAGTACATGGGAAAGCACATGGGGGAAAAAAGGCTCGCACGTGCCATCTGGATATTTTTCTTATTTTCATATAAATGCGTTTGCCTCAGATTGGTTTTTTGTTGTTTATTTTTTAAAATAATGGTTTGTTATAAATGTGTCGCGGTCGCTCCTTATGTTGTTTACAGTCTATGGTCGATTACATTGTCAACGCTTTACACTGCTTTTGAAAAGTGCTAAAAATAAAGATTTATTATTATTATTATTTATAGCCCAAAAATAAAGTGTATTTTTAGAATAGTTCTTAATTGAGAAAGATCTGTCTGTCACTTACATAAACATAATTCCATTTTTAACAAACGATCAGTCCGTTGCTTTTCAACTTGACACGTTCTGCGTAAAATGACGTGAGGTTATGAACACAACTTGACCAGCACGTGCACCAGGGTCTCTTAAACACACTTAAACGACAAACCCGATGATCGCTGACTTCCCCACGAGAAACATATTTGATCTGTTATTGTTTGGAGCCGTTAATGCAAATGAGACTTTTACGCACACGCCTTTCCCCAAGTCTCTCAAACACGTCCTCACGTCGTTACGTAAACGTGACCGTGCATTACGTCAGTCCGTCTGTCCGCGGGTGTAAATACCACGTGGATTACTTGGATTAAAGCGAAGGAACGGTTGGCTCACGTCGAGCACGTCACTGCGGCGGTGCACTTTTGGATATTTTTGCTTTATTCAAGAAATGTATTATCTTTTTACTCTGGGGCGGTGTTTAGATTGTTTTATTTATCACATACTCATGTATTTTAGAATAAACATTTAAACGTTTTTTTTTTTCAAATGACTTCAAAGTAAAAGCAGCAGTATGATAAGGACGTTATTTTTAATTATGCATTGACACACGCACACACACACACACACACACACACACACACAGGTTAATTTCGTTATTTAAAGACACGGGCAAGTGCATTTTTCCTTTTTCAAAACCACGAAATTTATAATATTCAATGATGCACAAAAAAAAATCCTTATTTACGCATTTTTTAAGACATTGGACCAAGTGTGTGACGCACATCTCGGTGATATATTTATTTAAGTTATTTACAAATGGTGCCACAGACCATGGAGGGTCCGGCTCCTCTGGTCCTGAGGGTCCAGCTCCTCTGCTCCTGGAGGGTCCGGCTCCTCTGCTCCTGGAGGGTCCGGCTCCTCTGCTCCTGGAGGGTCCGGCTCCTCTGCTCCGGAGGGTCCGGCTCCTCTGGTCCTCAGATACGTGCGTGGGACTGATAGTCCCACGCACGGACTGATGGAGTCTGAACACTCCAGAATATTAAAACTGATATACGCACGTGACTAATATAATAAACAACTACATAATAAAAATACAATTAGTACAATTAGTTTCCTAACGTAATAATCACAAAACTCTGATTGAATTTAGTCTAATCTAAGCCTCGTGCGCAGAGACGCGGAACAAAGAAGAAAGACACTTTTACGTGCGCGGTTTACTGCGTGACACGACGTCATTTGTCAGAGCTGTTTACGTGAGTTTTACAGGTTCATATTTTAAATATACTCTGCCACATTAACTTTAAGACATGCGTGTGTCAAGAACGGTATAGGCTGCACATATACGTGCACAGATGGAAAGTCCTGGGTCTCAGTCCTGGGTCTCAGTCCTGGGTCTCAGTCCTGGGTCTCAGTCCTGGGTCTCAGTCCTGGGTCTCAGTCCTGGGTCTCAGTCCTGGGTCTCAGTCCTGGGTCTCAGTCCTGGGTCTCAGTCCTGGGTCTACAGCCTCGGTCCGGGGCCTCTCTGAGTTTCTTTTCCTGAGTGGTCCTCGCCAAAGCACGGGTCAAAGAACTGTGGATCAATGGATCAAAGTGTTTGTTGTTGTTGTTTCTACAACTTTCTAAAATCCTCCGAGACGGTGATTCAAGACCAAATACATTTTATTATTTTCAATACAATTCATACAGTTTCACATAAAGCTAAGAGCCGTTATATTAACTATACGCGTTTTAGGGAATTTAAATTTACGCAAAAGCGCACATCTGTTATCCCAATATATATATTTATATATATATATATATTTATATATAATATTCTATAGCAAAATGACGGCATATTATTTATAAAAAAAAATAGGTTTTACAATAGTAAAAACAAATAAACACTTAAAGAGAAACGGGATAAAAACATTCCTCACGTAAGGCCCTGTTTTAAATCAACAGTAGAAGGAAAAACAGCCTCGTTATTCTGTAGAAACACAACGTCACAAATATAATAACAAGAACGTCACCATGAAAACACGTATCAACGTTTTCTGTTTTTAATGCCCCACAATAGTCGCTCTATTTGTATTATTCGCGAATAACAATGACGCCTGAAGAAAATTAGCGTCAATTTAAATCTGCGGAGGAGGAAGAAACGTGATAAAAACTAAAAACACGGTTGAATCCGCGGGAACCAAAAACACACACCTCACCCCTGCAGCGGACTTTACCACACACACACAAACACACACACACCTCACCCCTGCAGCGGACTTTACCACACACACACACCTCACCCCTGCAGCGGACTTTACCATAAACACACACACACCTCACCCCTGCAGCGGACTTTACCATAAACACACACACACACCTCACCCCTGCAGCGGACTTTACCACACACACACACCTCACCCCTGCAGCGGACTTTACCACAAACACACACACACCTCACCCCTGCAGCGGACTTTACCACAAACACACACACACACACCTCACCCCTGCAGCGGACTTTACCACACACACACAAACACACACACACCTCACCCCTGCAGCGGACTTTACCACACACACACACCTCACCCCTGCAGCGGACTTTACCACAAACACACACACACACACCTCACCCCTGCAGCGGACTTTACCACAAACACACACACCTCACCCCTGCAGCGGACTTTACCATAAACACACACACACCTCACCCCTGCAGCGGACTTTACCATAAACACACACACACCTCACCCCTGCAGCGGACTTTACCACAAACACACACACACACACCTCACCCCTGCAGCGGACTTTACCACAAACACACACACACCTCACCCCTGCAGCAGACTTTACCAAAAAGGCCAAAAAACACACAAAAGCGTTCGATAAAAATATATATATAAAAATAAAAAAACGAGATGGGTTTCCGGTTAAACAATAATAAATAAACAGATCTGCTTCTTGTTGGTTGTTCCCGCGGACACAGCAAAGTAAGACTCAAACCCACGGAGCAGAGCTTTAGAGGCCGCAGGACTCTGGACTCAGTCTGGACTCTGGACTCGGACTCAGGAAGAAGACCATAAAGTCCCACACACCCTTTTGTTGTGTCTGTTTGAGAGAGCCATAAACACAGACGGCGCGGCTCGCCTCTCCACAGACCTGGCTCTGACGTTTGGCCTGGTTTCATTGTTATATCGGACTGACGCAGACTGAAGTGCTGAAAACATGCTACAATATGAGTTAAGAAAGGCCTGAATCCAGTTTTTATCTTAAAATTTAGGTTTTTTACCGCAACGGGACACTTTTTTTTAACTTATTTTCCACCACTTTTTTTCAGACCAGAGATAGAGACCAGAGAGAGAGGGACTAGAGAGAGACCAGAGAGAGACCAGAGAGAGACCAGAGAGAGAGGGACTAGAGAGAGACCAGAGAGAGAGGGACTAGAGAGAGACCAGAGAGAGACCAGAGAGAGACTAGAGAGAGAGGGACTAGAGAGAGAGGGACTAGAGAGAGACCAGAGAGAGACCAGAGAGAGAGGGACTAGAGAGACTAGAGAGAGAGGGACTAGAGAGAGACCAGAGAGAGACCAGAGAGAGAGGGACTAGAGAGAGACCAGAGAGAGACCAGAGAGAGAGGGACTAGAGAGAGACCAGAGAGAGAGGGACTAGAGAGAGGCCAGAGAGAGACCAGAGAGAGAGGGACTAGAGAGAGACCAGAGAGAGACCAGAGAGAGAGGGACTAGAGAGAGACCAGAGAGAGAGGGACTAGAGAGGGACCAGAGAGAGACCAGAGAGAGGGACTAGAGAGACTAGAGAGAGAGGGACTAGAGAGGGACCAGAGAGGGACCAGAGAGAGAGGGACTAGAGAGAGGCCAGAGAGAGACCAGAGAGAGAGGGACTAGAGAGAGACCAGAGAGAGAGGGACTAGAGAGACTAGAGAGAGAGGGACTAGAGAGGGACCAGAGAGGGACCAGAGAGAGAGGGACTAGAGAGAGGGACCAAAGAGAGACCAGAGAGAGGGACTAGAGAGACTAGAGAGAGAGGGACTAGAGAGGGACCAGAGAGGGACCAGAGAGAGAGGGACTAGAGAGAGGCCAGAGAGAGACCAGAGAGAGAGGGACTAGAGAGAGACCAGAGAGAGAGGGACTAGAGAGACTAGAGAGAGAGGGACTAGAGAGGGACCAGAGAGGGACCAGAGAGAGAGGGACTAGAGAGAGGGACCAAAGAGAGACCAGAGAGAGACCAGAGAGAGAGGGACTAGAGAGACTAGAGAGAGAGGGACTAGAGAGAGACCAGAGAGAGAGACCAGAGAGAGACCAGAGAGAGAGGGACTAGAGAGAGACCAGAGAGAGACCAGAGAGAGAGGGACTAGAGAGAGACCAGAGAGAGACCAGAGAGAGAGGGACTAGAGAGGGACCAGAGAGAGACCAGAGAGAGAGGGACTAGAGAGACTAGAGAGAGAGGGACTAGAGAGAGACCAGAGAGAGACCAGAGAGAGACCAGAGAGAGAGGGACTAGAGAGACTAGAGAGAGAGGGACTAGAGAGAGACCAGAGAGAGACCAGAGAGAGAGGGACTAGAGAGAGACCAGAGAGAGACCAGAGAGAGAGGGACTAGAGAGAGACCAGAGAGAGACCAGAGAGAGAGGGACTAGAGAGGGACCAGAGAGGGACCAGAGAGAGAGGGACTAGAGAGAGGCCAGAGAGAGAGACCAGAGAGAGAGGGACTAGAGAGAGGGACCAAAGAGAGACCAGAGAGAGAGGGACTAGAGAGACTAGAGAGAGAGGGACTAGAGAGGGACCAGAGAGAGAGGGACTAGAGAGAGACAGAGAGAGACCAGAGAGAGAGGGACTAGAGAGAGACCAGAGAGAGAGGGACTAGAGAGAGACCAGAGAGAGAGGGACCAGAGAGAGACCAGAGAGAGAGGGACCAGAGAGAGAGACCAGAGAGAGAGGGACTAGAGAGAGACCAGAGAGAGACCAGAGAGAGAGGGACTAGAGAGAGACCAGAGAGAGACCAGAGAGAGAGACCAGAGAGAGAGGGACTAGAGAGAGACCAGAGAGAGAGGGACCAGAGAGAGACCAGAGAGAGAGGGACTAGAGAGAGACCAGAGAGAGAGGGACTAGAGAGAGAGACCAGAGAGAGAGGGACTAGAGAGAGGCCAGAGAGAGACCAGAGAGAGAGAGACCAGAGAGAGAGAGACCAGAGAGAGACCAGAGAGAGAGGGACAAGAGAGAGACCAGAGAGAGAGGGACTAGAGAGAGACCAGAGAGAGACCAGAGAGAGAGGGACAGAGACCAGAGTGAGACCAGAGAGAGAGGGACTAGAGAGAGACCAGAGAGAGAGGGACTAGAGAGAGACCAGAGAGAGAGGGACCAAAGAGAGACCAGAGAGAGACCAGAGAGAGAGGGACTAGAGAGAGACAGAGAGAGACCAGAGAGAGAGGGACTAGAGAGGGACTAGAGAGAGACCAGAGAGAGAGGGACCAGAGAGAGACCAGAGAGAGAGGGACCAGAGAGAGAGACCAGAGAGAGAGGGACTAGAGAGAGACACCAGAGAGAGACCAGAGAGAGAGGGACTAGAGAGAGACCAGAGAGAGACCAGAGAGAGAGGGACTAGAGAGAGACCAGAGAGAGAGGAACCAGAGAGAGACCAGAGAGAGAGGGACTAGAGAGAGACCAGAGAGAGAGGGACTAGAGAGAGAGACCAGAGAGAGAGGGACTAGAGAGAGGCCAGAGAGAGACCAGAGAGAGAGGGACTAGAGAGAGACCAGAGAGAGAGACCAGAGAGAGAGGGACTAGAGAGAGACCAGAGAGAGACCAGAGAGAGACCAGAGAGAGAGGGACAAGAGAGAGACCAGAGAGAGAGGGACTAGAGAGAGACCAGAGAGAGAGGGACTAGAGAGACTAGAGAGAGAGGGACCAGAGAGAGACCAGAGAGAGAGGGACTAGAGAGGGACCAGAGAGAGACCAGAAAGAGGGACTAGAGAGACTAGAGAGAGAGGGACTAGAGAGAGACCAGAGAGAGAGGGACCAGAGAGAGACCAGAGAGAGAGGGACTAGAGAGAGACCAGAGAGAGAGGGACTAGAGAGACTAGAGAGAGAGGGACTAGAGAGGGACCAGAGAGAGACCAGAGAGAGAGGGACTAGAGAGGGACCAGAGAGAGACCAGAAAGAGGGACTAGAGAGACTAGAGAGAGAGGGACTAGAGAGAGACCAGAGAGAGAGGGACCAGAGAGAGACCAGAGAGAGAGGGACTAGAGAGAGACCAGAGAGAGAGGGACTAGAGAGAGAGACCAGAGAGAGAGGGACTAGAGAGAGAGACCAGAGAGAGAGGGACTAGAGAGAGACCAGAGAGAGACCAGAGAGAGAGGGACTAGAGAGAGACCAGAGAGAGACCAGAGAGAGGCCAGAGAGAGACCAGAGAGAGACCAGAGAGAGACCAGAGAGAGACCAGAGAGAGGCCAGAGAGAGACCAGAGAGAGACCAGAGGGAGACCAGAGGGAGACCAGAGAGAGACCAGAGGGAGATTGGAGAATGTGCTCACAGTAGCAGCTTTTGTCAAATTTGAGCAATTTTTTACTTATTTTCCACCACTTTTTAAAGGGAGCTAGGCTAATTTTTAAGACCCGACCACAGGAGGTTTTTAGGACATAGATGAACAGGTTTCAAATAACAATATATAATAATAAATACATGTATGAGTTATTACATATGAACAACGTTGCTTAATATATGTATATAAATATTTGTTTTCATACTAGTGCATAAAGAACATGTTATTTGTATGGCACAGTTCAAGGCGACTCAAAGAACAAAACAAGATCTTAATAAATATCATAAATAATCACAGAATATTAAAGTTAAAGCTGAGGTCCCTGACTTTTTACCATTTGTCCAAACAGAAAGAGTCTGTGAACAGAAAGAGACCAGCGAGAGAGAGAGAGAGATCAGAGAAAGACCAAAGAGACCAGAGACCAGAGAGAGAGAGACCAGAGAGAGAGAGACCAGAGAGAGAGAGAGACCAGAGAGAGAGAGAGACCAGAGAGAGAGACCAGAGAGAGAGAGAGACCAGAGAGATAGATAACAGAGAGAGAGAGAGACCAGAGAGAGAGACCAGAGAGACACCAGAGACCAGAGAGAGACCAGAGAGAGACCAGAGAGAGATCAGAGAGAGATCAGAGAGAGACCGGAGAGAGACCAGAGGGAGACCAGAGAGAGACCAGAGAGAGACCAGAGAGAAAGACCAAAGAGAGACCAGAGAGAGACCAAAGAGAGACCAGAGAGAGACCAGAGAGAGACCAGAGAGAGAGACCAAAAAAAATACTCAAAAAATTCTACAACTCTTCTTCAAAAACAACACAGTTTTATTTTTGTTTTTGTTTTTTACCAATTCTGCTCATTTTTAAGTCAAAAAGTGTTTTCATGGTTGCATCCTGACGTCACATGGTTGTATGGACCCAGATCACAGCTGGTCCCGGCTCCTGGTGAGAGGGTGATTACATATGAGCCGAGGAAGAGAACACTTGGGGAAAATAAACCAAAGGTAATTTGCTGTTGCTTGAATAATAAAAGAAGAAAGAATCTATTTCAGGACAATAAAACCAGGAAGAGACCAGAGAGAGACCAGAGAGAGACCAGAGAGACCAGAGAGACCAGAGAGAGACCAGAGAGAGATCAGAGAGAGACCAGAGAGACCAGAGAGACCAGAGAGAGACCAGAGAGAGATCAGAGA